CTTCCTTCTTCCATGGCTGTGGCTTTGGTGTACCACTCAGTTGGGAGTGATCTCAGCAACCTTACATTCTTTTCTTTGGGAGAAAGAATGTGGTTAAGTGAAGCAAGATCATTCAATATCTTGTGGAATCTTTCATCCAACATATCAAATGATTCTCCGGGAAGCATTTTGAAGCTTTTGAACTTCTCAAGCAGGACTTTTATCGTCTGCTTTCTCAGGTCCTCTGATCCCTCACATAGCTTCCCAAGACCTTGCCAAATCTCCATGGCAGTCTTGAGATGCTTAATCTTGGAGAAGGTGATGGGATCAAGTGTCTTGAAGATGGTTGCTTTGACGACGTTGTCCAAATTGTGCTTTTTGCAATCTCTATCATCCCATTTTTCCTTGGGCTTTGGAATGTACTGGACTACATCTGGAGCAGCTGGATTCCTCTCAGGGTTCTCCATTTGGATTTTCAAGGGTCCATCCTCAAGCACCATCCACATGCAATCATGTAGAGCATAGAGATGTGCTTCGATCATGATCTTCCAATCATCATAACCTAGAAGAGAAAACATGGGCAAACCGTGATCCATATTGTTCACCATTATGATCGCTTCTCGTTAATCTAAAAGTAGATAGTGAGAAGTAAGCTCGGATACCAATTGGTGGTCCCAAAGTGGTGAGATACAAAGTCTAGAGGGGGGGGGTGAATAGGCTTTGTTACAAATTCAAAACTTTTTCGTTTCTTTTGAAAACGTGATAATGAGTGTTAATCTAGAGTTCTTGTGAACTTTAGATTGTGTGCGGAATTTGGTGGGTAGAGTGAGCAGTAATCAATATGGATGGGTTAGTTTTCACAGTTAATATAATTGCAAGTAAGAATAAAGATAAAGGAGAGAGACACGCAAACTTTAACGAGGTTCGAAGGTGGGGTAATCCTTCTACGTCCTCAAAATCCACTATGTAGTTGGTTGTTGAATAATGAACCAACAATTACACTTGTGTGAATTTCTGCATGGTATATCTTCGCAAGGCCAATGTTGCTACTGCACTCGTGCTGGCTTTGTTGTTCCTTCGAAGGTCACGCTTCTTCAACAAGTGCAAGGTCCGAACAATAGGACTTGCAAGACCAACTTGTGAGAAAGTTGACCTACCCCCTTTCAATCAATAAGTTTGATCAAAAGTTGTATCCTTCAACGTGGTGTGGTACTTGAGGCAAGGAAACCTTCAAGTATTTACACTATAGCTCTTTGGAAGGAGGAGAAGTTTGCTTCTGGATAAGGAGTTTAGAAATCTCTCTTTATCAAGCTTTTTGGGCTAACTGTGAATGAGGTAG